ATATATTTTGAAAAGGGAGGGGGTCCTCAGCTGGCAGCCGACGGCCCCTCTGTACGCAACACACACGCACGCACGCACGCACGCACGCACGCACGCACGCACGCACCGCGCGCTGCTGCACACAGCTCCCCCCCCCCCCCCCACACACACACACTCACGAGCAGGTACTGCGCCGTCGTCGCCAACTTCTACGCCTTCACCACCGCCGCGGCGGCCGGCGAGCTTGCGCCGCGTACCCCGGACTCGGTGCGGCAGTCTGCCGAGCAGCTGCTCGAGGCTCTGCGCGGCGAGGCGGCGGCGCAGCGGCGCTCTCTCGAGCGCGACGAGGCGCTGCACGGCGACCTCCGTCTCGGCGGCGGCGCAAGGCGCCCCGGAAGGCGGGCCCCCTCTCATCTCGGGAGTGGCTGACGTCTAGGCGCGTGGAGCGAGGAGGCGGCCGCGTGGCACGCCTGCCGCCGCTCGATGGAGGAGAACCTCGGGGTGGTGCGCGACAAGCTCGACTTCTACGCTGGCTACGTCGCAGAGGCCGACCCTGCCATGGTCACCGACTAGCGCGCGTGCGGGTGCTGGGTTGTTTCGCATCGCTGCAAAACGCGAAGCGTTCTCGCGCCAGTCAACCAACGGCAAGAGTCGCGCCAGCGCCAAGAGCCGTATCTCAAAGTGGCGCAAGTCTCGGGTCTCACGGCGCGACGACCTCTCAAAAATATCATTACACGCGCAGCGCGTCCACCCGCCACCCGCACCCCTCGATCCTCCTTCCTCGTCATCCTCGTCCTCGTCCTCCGACTGTCCGCTCCGCCGACGACCTCCCCGTCAGAGCACCCAGAGGCTCAGGGCACAGGGGCGGCGACTCCCCCATCTTACCATCTACAGATGATATGCGCATCCTAGATGCCGGAAACGCCATCTAGGGGCATAGCGGGTGGGGAGGCCCCCTAAAACGGCGGGAGAGCCGGGAGGGCTATCGGAAGTCAAGAGCTAGAGGACTCAGCCACCCCCTCTACCCCTCCATAATCCACCCCCCTCCACACCCTCCCGGAGCGAGAGAGGTCCGTCCTCGAGAGAGCCCTCCCACTTCCACCCCTCCGACCGGAGGGCTCGCTCCAGCCCACGGGGCTGGAGGGGTCCCCGTCGGATCGGCGTCGCGTCTTGGGACCGGAGCAGCCCGAGAGTGCGTTGCGGTGAGACCGCTCCGCCTCCGGCATTGCGCGACAACGAGCGGCGAGCTTGAAGCAAGCGTGATGCTCTCTGTCTCAAAAAAACTGCGTTTTGGGCGCGCGCGCGGGGGCGGCGGGTGTGCGGGATGTCTGTTGGCCCGAGAGCGATGCGTGTGTCCGCCTTGCTTTGTTTCATAACATCGAAGGCTGGCTCAATCCTCAAAAAAAAACCGCCGGCGCGGTGTATAGGGTCTGGGTGTGACTGCGACAAGTGTGTGAGCCCACATGAGAGAGAGAGAGAGAGAGTTCTCCCAGTAAGCTAAAAGTACACACATGAGAAAAGGACTTCCTACATACAAACAAAAGGCGGTCGCACAGCACGATTCACACGACAAACAAGCCGTCGCCTCAACACAGAAGCCGTCACCCAACAAAGAAACCTAGCTGATTATGCCGCTTCCTCTACTCGAGTATGCTATCGCCACCCTGCCTTCTGAATCGCCACCTTGTTGTCGGCGTTGACAGCGAGGTTCCCCAGCGCCCTCGCGGCCCTCTGCTTCTGCCCGTCCGTGCCTCCGCGAGCCAGCGCCACCAGCGGCGCGATGCCGCCCGCCTTCGCGATCGCCACCTGGTTGTCGGCGTTGCAAGCGAGCCACCCCAGCGCCCACGCGGCCCTCTGCTTCTGCCCGTCCGTGCCGCCGCGAGCAAGCGCCACCAGCGGCGCGATGCCGCCTGCCCTCGCGATCGCCACCTGGTTGTCGGCGTTGCAAGCGAGCCACCCCAGCGCCGTCGCGGCCTGCTCCTTCTGCCCGTCCGTGCCGCCGCGAGCCAGCGCCACCAGCGGCGCGATGCCGCCCGCCTTCGCGATCGCCACCTGGTTGTCGGCGTTCCAAGCGAGCCACCCCAGCGCCCTCGCGGCCTCCTCCTTCTGCCCGTCCGTGCCGCCGCGAGCCAGCGCCACCAGCGGTGCGATGCCGCCCGCGCTTGCGATCGCCATCTGGTTGTCGGCGTTGCAAGCGAGGTTCGCCAGCGCCCTCGCGGCCTCCTCCTTCTGCCCGTCCATGCCGCCGCGAGCCAGCGCCACCAGCGGCGCGATGCCGCCCGCCCTCGCGATCGCCACCTGGTTGTCGGCGTTCCAAGCGAGCCACCCCAGCGCCCCCGCGGCCTGCTCCTTCTGGCCGTCCGTGCCGCCGCGAGCCAGCGCCACCAGCGGCGCGATGCCGCCAGCCCTCGCGATCGCCACCTGGTTGTCGGCGTTGACAGCGAGGCTCCGCAGCGCCCCCGCGGCCTGCTCCTTCTGCCCGTCCGTGCCGTCGCGAGCCAGCGCGACTAGCGACGCGATGTCGCCCGCCTTCTTTGCAGCCGCAAGCAGTGCGTTCGTAGCCGCGTTGCGCTTACCCATACTCATCGAGACCGCCTTGACTGCATTGGCGATGCTGAAGAGCAGGCAGCCGCTGTTAGCGTCGCTGCCACCTTGGGCGTGGATGCCGACAAGCCGCCCGACATTGTCAAAGATGGGCGAGCCTGACGAGCCGGGCTCGGTGTCGTTCTGGTAGGAGATGCTGCCCTCATCTGTCATCTTTTCTACGTGGAAGTTGCTCATCACCTTCACGCCGCCCTGCGGGTGCTGCCAAATGGTAATGGTGATGTTCGCACTGGGCTTCGACGTTGCGTGCGCGAGCGAGATCGGCGTGCACTTTAGCTTCGGCACATCCTCGGTGAGCACAGCGACGAAGCAGTAGTCGAGCGGACGGCTACACCCCGCAGCGAAGCCCGCCCTTGGGTCCAGCTTAATCGTTATCCAAGAGCCGGGATTTGAGGCGAGCTTGTTAAAGACTGCCGTTGCATGCTCCGCGTCCGCCTCAGTGCTGATGACGTGGTGATTGGTCAGCACGCAATAGCGAGGCAAGCCCAGCGGCCTGCCGTCGACGAGGCTTCCGGACCCACGACCTCCGCGCACTGTTATTGCGCACGCCGCTTCCATGTTGTTCTGTATCGTCTCTGCTGAGGCGTACGGCGCGACCCCACGCAGCTGCTCGTCGTTAACTCGCAGCGACTGCAGCGGCTCGCTGATGTCGATAGGAGCGGACATGCTACGCGACAACTTGGGGGACGGCCGTGCACCTCCGCGCATCGCGCATCCTGACACCTGAGGGTTTAGAGGGTTAGTCGCATGGCACGTATCCCGTGCAAACACACCTGGTCCTGGAACGCCCGCATCTTTTTTTGCAACTGTGCCCAAAGAGCATTGGGGTAGAGGAGCGAGCCGACACGCGCCCAGGTGGGTCCCGCGGGAGGAGAGAGCTGTCGCGGTGTGCAGCCAAAAAACGATATGCAAGGTCACCTGCCCACCTGCCCGCGGCGGGCGGGGGAGGGGGGGGGTGGGGGGGTCCTCAGGAGTTGTTTCTTTTTTGGGCAGGGTTAGAGAGTTGAAGTGAAGTGTGCGCGAAAGAAAGAAGAAAGGAATCACACTCACGGAGAGAAGTGAAAAGAAAGAGGCACACGATTTCTTTTTCTGCTTAGCGAGAGGTTGGGTGCTTGGGTGGCCTGCTTCCGCTCCACCGCCCCGGCCGTCGCGTCTGCTGCCTTGCGCCGGACGGATCCCACATTCGCCCATCTCGATCGCCACGGCGCTCGATGTCGCTCGAGTTCAAAAAGGGATTCCTCTCTCAGCCTGCGTCAAACACGAGCGCTGCCGCTCGCAGCGTCGGCCGCCGGAAGCAGGCGGCTGCGCCCGACGAGGCGTATCTGCCAGCGGAGAGCTACGACCTCCTCGACGACGAGGACGGCGCCGCCGACCCGCTGGTGGCGGAGATCGAGACGTCCGAGGCGGCCTACGAGTACAGCGTCGAGTACTGCCGCGCCCACTGCAACCAGTTCAACCAAGGTCTCATGCGGCTCGACCCGATGGTGAACGTCGCGTTTGCCAACGACCTGCGGGCGGTGCAGTTCAACCGCAAGATGTGGGGGCACCACGACGGGCCCGGCCGCGGCGGCGAGCAGCGGACGATGCTGCTGCCAAGCGGGATCGTCCTCAAGTACCTCGAGTGGGGCAGCGAGCAGGCGCGTCCTAGACACTTCCTAGACAGCTCCTCGACAGCTCCTCGGCCGGTACCTCGAGTGGGGTGCGAGCAGGCGCCTCCGGTCGTGCTGCTCCACGACGTCTGTGACTCGTGCCACATCTGGGATGACGTGGCGCAGCCGCTGGCTGACTCCTTCCGCGTCCTCGCGCTCGACCTGCGAGGGCGCTGACACACTCCAGCCGCTCGCCGCGGCACGAGGACGGCTTTCTGTTCGAAGGGCAGCGGTGTCTTTGTTTAGGCGCGGACACACTCCAGCCGCTCGCCGCGGGCGCCAGTACGGCTTCTTTGTTTATCCGCCGCGGTGTTTGTTTAGGCACGGAGACACCAGCCGCTCGCCGCGGCACGAGTACGGCATCGACGCGCTGGTGGAGGACCTGCACGAGATGGCGGTGCGGCTCTCCCTCAACGGGCGCGACTGGGGCGGCGCCTTCACGCGGCCGTGGGTGCCGTGCGGCGAGGGGAGGGGCGGTCCTAGAGAAGAAGTCGGCCGAGCCGTGTCTGTCTGTGTGTTAGGTGCTGTGCGGCAAGGGGATGGGCGGGGCCGTCGCCGTCGCTTACGCGGCGCGCCTCCCCGGCCGCGTGGCGGGGCTCGTTAGTTAGTCCCAACCGGTGAATGATGACTACTCCACAGGCGCGCCACCCCGGCCGCGTGGCGGGCCTCGTGCTCTGGGACTACGACCCCGACATGCCGACCACGCGGCTCTGCTTCTCGCCGCACCAGGCGGGCCACTTCCGCGGGCAGGCAGCCGCTCGCTGCCCTGCTGGCCGTGCGAGGACGTGAGACGAGCGATGAGGCGATGTCGATGGCACCAGGAGCCGCTCGCTGCCCTGCTGGCGGAGCAGCTCGGCTTGCAGCGCGACGCAAAGTACCTCGCCATCACCTTCACCAACCGGTGCGAGCACGCCGACCCGCCTCCTCACCTCGGCGCATCTCGGCGCACCTCGGCGCACCTCGGCGCACCTCGGCGCACCTCGGCGCACCTCAGGTGCGAGCACGTCGACCCGTCGGACGAGAAGGCGGGCTGCCGCTTCAAGGTGCGTTCTTCCTGTCCGGCTCCACGCCGCCAACACACCAGCAGCCCTAGCCCCAGCCCTAGCCCCAACCCTAGCCCCAACCCTAGGTGGACCCGCACTTCTTCCTGTCCGATTGGTCGCCCGGACTCGCGTGGACGCAGCTGCGCGCCGTCGCGCCGTCGGCGCGGCTCCTCCTCATCCACAACCAGCAGGGCGTCTCTTCACACCTCCCGCTGTGAACAGGTGCGGCTCCTCCTCGTCCACAACCAGCAGGGCGTCTCTTCACACCTCCCGCTGTGAACAGGTGCGGCTCCTCCTCGTCCACAACCAGCAGGGCGTCTCTTCACACTTCCCGCTGTGAACAGGTGCGGCTCCTCCTCGTCCACAACCAGTCTTCCCTCGACTGGACCTACGAGCGGGCGGTCGAGGCGCGGCCGCCGCTCGAGCGGCCGGCCGAGGGGCATGCATGGCTCGTGAGGAAGTGCTCACTCTGAGTCCAGGTGCGGTCGGCGCTCGAGCAGCCGGCCGAGGGCGGCGAGCCCGCCGGCGTGCAGCTCGTCGTCGCGTCGCGCGGCAGCGTGCCCGACGAGGAGGAGGCGCTGGTCGAGTCCCTCTGGCCGTGACGCCTCCCGCCACCCTTCCTGCAGGCACCGTGCTCGACGAGGAGAAGAACTTGGTCGAAGACCTGCAAAAGCTGTACGGCGGCATCGCGGCGCACGTGCGCGCCGTTTTTCCCGGCGCGCTCGCCGTGTTTCTTCGTCCGGCGGACCTGTTTTTTCTTTTCTGTAGGTGCGCACCTTTGCGTCCGACATCGACCGCGCCGCGCGAGACAAGCTTCGTTCGCAGGTCCCTCTCCCCTCCCCCCTCCCCCCCCGCGCCGCTTCCCCCGCTGCCTCTCTCCTCACCGCCACCGCCGCCTCCCCTTCCCCTCCAGGGCGCCGTGCGGTACGAGCGGATCGCCGAGGAGGAGCTCGAGGCCAAGCAGGCGGAGAAGGAGGCGATCCGGCAGGCAGACCGCTCACCTCGAGATCACCCCTTATCTCCCCATATCTCCCCACATCTCCCCGTGGATCCGGCAGCACTCACCCACGCGCACCGGGCCTTGCACTCTGAGCGCCGTGCCAGCTCCTGTCCTTGGCCGTGGAGTCGCGAGGGTTGCCCGAGCTCTTGCCCCACCACCCTCGTCTGTGTGGAGACGTCCCCTTTGCCCTACCGTAGGCGGCGCGCGAGGCGGCGGGCTTCATGGCCAAGGAGGACCCGGCGCCGCCCTCCTTTGACGAGTTCGACGACTAGGTGCCCCTCTCCACCCTCCCAACACCTGGCCGGCGCGCGGCTACTCCCTCCGTCACGTTTAGCATGGCGTGCGTCCATGAGATGTAGCTGGGCCACGGCGCGGGCGGCGCGGGGCTCCCTCGGTGCTGTCTCTACGCGCGTGTCAGCCTGTCACTCCCGGCGACGCGATCGCACTCAAAAGTGTGAGACAGACACACTCACACACTCACACACTCACCCCCTCCCCACCCCCACCGCAACGACATACGTGTACTCATACACCGTCACCGTTTCAGTTCTAGAATTTGATATATACCCTGAGCCACTCCCGCGAGCGCAAGTCCGCCTGCCTCACGCATGGTGATTTGGTGTCCCTCGGGTCCCTGCTCTGCTCCTAATCTCTTCCGTCTTCGTACATCCTCGGAGCCCCGCGGCTTTTTCTTTTTTGCACGAAGGTGTACCTGTGTTAGTGCCAGTGCGCGCGCGCCAGTCCCGTGCCCCCAGTGTTGTTGTGCGCGAGGCCTAAAATTCTTTTTTGTCCTGTATTGTGACACGTGTGTCTCAGCTCGCTCACCCGTCTAACACGACGCCCCCCCCCCACCCCCACCCCCCCTCTTCCCCCCCTTGCGCGACGCGTTCGGCAAAGCTCGATCAATCTGCCGGAACGGAAATCCGGTCTTCTGTGTCTCTGTGTCCCTTCTTGTGTTACCCACGCCGATGTCGGTCGCGCTGGACGGCAGCGTGTCCCCAGCCTCGCCGACGCTCTCCAAACCGTCGCTGTCTTCGCCGCCGCTGGTTGGGGCCGCGCCGCCGGGACGCCGGCGCTGGGCGTCAACTGCCTCTAGCCGGAACTCCTGGTTGAGCCGGAACGCCTGGTCGGGGTAGCCGTCGTACGCGACCGCGTGCACGAGCCGGCTGTCCGAACCCTCCTCCCGCCCCGTGATGGTGCCCGGCCACCACCGCTGCTCGCCCCGGATCTCGACGTGCGTGCCTGTCTCGCCATCCTCACCGCCGCGTCCACGCGCAGCCGCTTCCGCGGCGCCGTCTAGACTCCGAGGCCTGCGGCAGCAGGTAGTTCGGGCCGTACTCCGCCACGCCCGCGAGGCGGACCTCGGCCCCGCGCTCACCGTCCGCTCGACCGCCGCCTCGACCGGCGGAGCCGGAGGGGGGGGGGGGCTCGACCCCCGTCGTTCGACCCGTCGTTCTGTGACCTCCCGTCGCCAGCGAGCGGGGTCCCTGATCCCCCTGACCCCCCCCCCCCCCGTTGGGAGCTTGATCGCCACAACCGCCGGCGGAGAATACGGATTCTGCAAAGCGCGCAGATTATGTTTCAGACGCGCCGAGAACCGTCACAGGAACCTATGCTACCACATCCTGAGGTGGGGTTGCAATCTGCTCCTGCGCGCCTAAGGAATTCTCCGGAAATTGTTACTCTAACTGTTCCTTGGGAGCCGAAAACGCGCTCCGGCGTCAAAATAGGTGAAAGAGGCCTTGCCCCCCTGGCCTGT